TGCATTCTGAAAGCGCGTGATTTGCTTGACCATGGGCCTCTATAGTCTTCGGGGCCTACTCCAACCAAAGGAAGTGCGGCAGCCTAAGACTTCAAATTGACTGAGCAAGTTTTCCGTCTGATTGAGACCTGGACGCCTCCACTGCTTCATGAATTTGGCCGTGCCCGAGCGGATGTCGTAGGGACCACGAAAGCAAAGAGACTGAGGGCCATTAGCTTTCACCTTGGCAATGACCTCGGCCTCGGACTGCAAACCGCCCAAAACAGTCAATCGCTCAGCGTTCACGAGTACATCTTCCACGACACCAGTGCAATCAGCAATTTGCACATGTGCCAAGACGGCCTCTTGGCCTCTCTCAGTCTCACAGCCATGCATTGCACTCCTCTTACACAAGCCGGTCTCCGCGTCGACCTTTGTGTAGCAAAGTTTGCAAGCTGCGCAGACAGGATCGCCGCTGATCTCCGTGATCCATGCGTTGTGTAGGACCACTTCGACTTGTTCCTGTGTGAACAAAGATCACGAAGGACACATACAGAGCAAAGGTTCAATAATTATGACGAATAAAATGTACCGGAAATTCGGGAAAGAGTAGACGCACACAAGCGGCGAGGAACAAAACAAAACAGGTCCTTGGGAGCGCCGTCCTCAACCGCCATGCCATACGCGGCGACAGTGGCCGCGCAGGCAACGTAGCAGGCCCCCAGGTCTGACTTCAGGCGGCCGCCGCCGACAAGTGACGGGGCCCAAGGCACCGAGATAGCTTTCCCCCGGCTGGTCCCCAGCTCCCTCCTGTAACTTTTTGGCCTGCTCGCAGTTCGGATTGGCATGTAAAAACCAAAGCTATGTTTCTCACTGTCCTCGAAGTGTTCAACGGACCCCTCCACTGAGCTATCGTGCAGGTTGCAATTGTCCACCATCAATACATCACCTGGTTGAACATCTCGCAAAGTCGTCTGTAGCTTCGGACCCCAAACATTGATCAGAATCTCCCTGTCGGAAAAGTCCTTCAGCCGGACGTTTGTCTTCGGCTTGGACTTTGTCGGAGCTGCTTCGATGTCTGTCACCAACCCCATCAAGTCGTAGCGCTGTCGGCCTTGGCAGGTGGAATCGACAAGGCTTAGATCAAGCGCGGCACTGGTAGCGAGCCTTTCAGAGCTTGGTACTTCGGATGTACCTCCGTAACTTTGCGACCACAACTTTGGAACCCTTTTCACTGAGATCCACGAAATGTCCAGCGAAGAAATTGTTCTTGGTGGTTTTCAAGTCTTGACCTGAATCGGAGCTTTCAAGTAGGGTTCGGCCTTCTGGAGTACATCTGCTCGACTCTTCCCTCGCAGCTCTGCGTACAAACCCTTGCCGGTCAGGTTGGTGAATCGCATGACCATCTTGGCCCAAGAGCCGCCAGTGCCGGTCATTTCCTTCACTGCGTGATACAGAGGTCAGACAGTGGAAATTTTGGGCAGTCAGGCGATCTAGCGTCCCCTCCACTGTCTGCTTGGTAGACATAACCAAAGGCTGGTGCCGGAAACAAAGCCGCAGAATAAACGTCAACGTTATTGCGTCCTTGTGTTTGAGCCCGCCTTGCGCTCGCCGGTGACGCGTGGGTACAGAAAAGAAAGGTCTATACCTCAGGATCGCAACACCCAAGCACAGTCATCAGACTATATCTCTGGATTGAAATCTCTGTTCGTTTTTTGGGTCTTCCTGACCTCTGGAGCGCAGTCTCCGCAGATAGCCCACCTGTACGATCAAAAGTCACGCGCTGGGATAGTTTTCACAAAACTAGTGTGTGTTTATTCTGCTTGAATGCTCGTGCTTAGATCCGGTTCAAAAGACTCCTATATTGATTCTGAAGTGAAGCAAGAGTGAAAAACTTGGATATACAAATCTGTAAGATCTGACAGGAGCCTTCATGTTGTTTACACCTTCCAATCGAGAGCTCTATTTTTGACACAAGCTCCTCGGTGTGTCTGCGAAGAGTCAGCCCGCCGGCCGAGTCTGCAGAGCAACATTCTCGACTGCGCTCCAACTGCTTGATAGTAAATCCAAGTCAAAGGTTCCATGTGGCAAAAAGTTCCTCGAGATCCTGCGATACAGCCTTCGTTCCCTCGGCGCTCGCCCAAGCGCGTGCGTCCTTGCCACTGGACCTGCAGGCTACGTTCACAAGTGGAGCATAGAATTGTAGACGTTCAACGCATTGATCGTGCGCAGCATAGAGGAACAAATATTCCAGCTGCTTCTCTGTCGCCAATCCTGCGCGACGCTTCCATCGTCGACAGTGCGGTGCTGCTGGGCAGTCGGATTGCAGCACGCCTCCCCGTGTCGTATCTCTCTCAGCAGACTCACTCGAAGTCATGCGAACACCTGACCTGCGACTGTCTGTTTCCGTGTTCGCTGCCTGCTTTTCTGTCGGTCCCGTCCTGGGGTCTTCGCCTGCACAACCCCTGGCGGGGTCACCATGCACATCGATTAACTTCGTCTGCTCAGCTCGCGACTCGCCTGTGTATACGGAAAAGCTTCCTAACGACTCGGTGTCACTCCAGGTCTACTGTGCGTTTTGTGTTCAGTGTGACGTGTTCAGTCTAGTGTCTCGAGTCCGTGTGTGGACACGTCGCACTTACAGGTTGCGCGCACACAGGACACGTCGCACTCTCGCCCGCATTTCGCGCACTCGACACGCACGATCTCCGCAGAGGGTTGCGCGGGCATGGGATAGATCGCGCTCTCGCCTGCATTTCGTGCGCTCGACACGCACGATCTCCGCAGAGGGTTGCGCG